CACACAGTAAAATTGTAAAAGTAACACTTAGATGTATATAAATCGATTTATTTAGTAATATTCACTCTGAATCACAATTAGGTATGTAAAATTAGGGCTGAGTTCCCAGCGATTCACCACAATCCAAAGTCCTTTTGTTTGTTTTCTTCAATTTTTACATGTGATTCAGTAATTACCGCAAGAAAAAAATTATCCTGAAGAAGGAACTGGCATCAGTTGTTCATGATTTTTCGTGCATCGCAATGGGAAAAAACAGGTAGACCCCAATTTTGAGTTCTTTAATCTTTTGTGTCGACCCTTGCTGCATTTTTTGTAATTTTATTGTCGGCCCCACGTGTTTATATTTGCCCTTGTCGTCCGACAACAAACAATGGCAGAGCATTTTTTTAATGTTTGGCTTCATGATAAATTAGGGTTTCTTTCGGCAATTGAGAGACGAGCTCGTGAATTGGGCAATTAGGGTTTAAATTGGGGAAGAAATGAATATAATGCTCCCTTAAATGCTTTTTTATTTGTGTGTGTGACAATGTGACATCTTCGTCAGCGACATCTGAGGGCACGTGCGATTGTCTGCTCGGACACGTAGGCACGGAGCTCGCTGCCGATCAACTTTGGGTTCGGGTTGCCAATATTAATAATGATTGCAATTTATTTGCAATTACCTTAAGGTTGAGATTAAATTGCAAAAAGCTTAAATGTCGTGGTTTTATTTGCAATTAAGGCTTTAACAATTCAATAACAAGACAAAGTTGGACTTATGCGACCGAATTAACAACTTATGTCCACCGACAGAAAAAAAAAAAAGCGACAATCTGAGAGATTTTGATCAAAACAATCGAATTTTCAATAGAATTTATTAGAACTTTCGTAATTGCAATCGAATCTTTAAAAGACTTTTATTCGCTATCAAATATTTAAGAGAATGTTTATGATTACATTAATCGAATCTTTAATTTGTTTTTCTTCATTTATTGTAAGTTGAAATTTGGTGACACTCGATTTACAAAATTTGAATGCAAAATTGTTTTGTATTATGAACTTGTAACTCGATTGTGTATAACTAATTAACTATTAAAAATAAATTAAAATTTTACATATATTTTTTTTTTTTAACTAAAATCTAAAGAAGTTCCGAGCAGATCAAGGGT